GCACCATGGTCGAAGCATTTTTAAGCAACTCAAAAAACGAACATGTAGCATTTATACGAAATAATTTAGACAAATATAGTAGAATTTTTCATACAATCTTTTAAGCAATATTTTGTCACTTTCTCTTCACACTGCGGATACATAAAATATGTTTTATTCTTATTGAAGGTTTTATACGTAAACAAACAGCTGGTAGAATACTTGTATATTTTTTGATTACAAAATACTGCACTATAATACAACAAAGATTTTAAAAAACTAAAGTAATTTTTTGCATGAATATTCAAATTTCACAAATCACTATTGTATAAAATAAATCTCTGATTAAATACATTTTTGTTCATTCTAATTGTAACTTTTAGTGTTAATAGGAATTTAACAATAGTTTTCTCCTCTACATTTTCGTTATTCAACATTATCATTCAGTTACATATTTTGTTTTTAAGAAGTAAATATAATATTATTCATGTATGTTATTGCACAATTATCTTATTTGTCTTTCTATATTAATTTAAATGTTGTTAAATGCTATATATTTGGTTGAATTTAGGCATGATTTAGTATGTATTTTTGCAAAGTATCATAAAAAGAAATTTAAAATTTTCATAATTATTACCGAAATATTTATTCTAGTTGTGAAATAAAAAAGATATTAATAATCTAAGAAAATATATTCTGAGAATTTGATTTGCATGATATATGTTATTTGAAATAAAATGTTGTATTATACTCGTATTGGTTTATATATTTTATATTCACTTTTTAATGTTATAACAATTTGCTTGTATTTAATAGAGGTAAATGAAACTTGCGTGATATAATCAGAGATTATTATAGAGATGTTCATGTATCTATTTGTACCGAATATTTTGAAAATATATATTACATTTCTGTTAATGGCTATTATATCTTTGCTTTTCCCACGTAAATTGATGAATACATAATACTTCATTTTACTGAATGCAGGTGTTTATTGTGGTATATTCAAGCGACTATTATTCTATTACTATCGATTGTTTTATATTAAAAATATAAATATATTTTAAGCATTTTCAATTTTGTACATTCTTGTTTTTAAGGGAAGATGAAAGAACCAAGACATACCTTTAAAGAACTATGCAGTTGCCTTTAGTTTCCACTAGCCATGCACTTTTGTGATGTGACCTATAAATTAACCAAAATATTTTATTTTATTTTAAAAATGTATCTAAAACAATATGCATTTAAATACTTAAAATTTATGTACAATTGGCTAAATTAAGCTAAACGTGTTCAAGTTCGAAATTAATATTTTCTACTTTTTATAACCACTCTAAACCATAACATAAAATGTCTATATACCATTATAAATATTATGATTTTCCTGATATTTATAAAATCAACTATAAAATCTTCTAAAATATTATGGACGAGGTTGATAAATAAAACTATTTGTAAAATATTTTAATTTCTGAAGCGTGTTTTATTAAAAACGGTCAAAAATATAGAATGTACTATTCATTAAATAATAGTTTCCTATTTATCATCTCTTTTTAATAATGTTTAGTTATTCTATTAATTTTAAATGTTCATTATTTGAACCTATTTGAATTCAATTGTGATAAATAAGCATTTAATATATATCGCTTTATGTGATGATTTTCAAATATAACAATTAATTTATACACTACAAACGATAAAAACATAGGCGATATATGTAGCCATGAATACCAAAAGCAGGTTCTATATGTTTTGTAGATCAAATTCAAGATTGGCCTTTATTCTACTGCATCAAGGTAGCATAATTGCATACTTTAAATCATTAAGCAAAAAGATGTTAAATTTCCAATTGATATTATTGTAATTAAATGTTTGATTGTTGTTTAAACAAGTTTGTAATAGATTCGAAACATTGATAATTTTAATTAACATTTTCTTATTATGTACTTAGAAACTGTAGCTATCACCGAAAGTACTAACAAACTAACAACAACCAATATTCCAATTTCGGTCATACCGAAATGAGCATTTTCTACTGTAGTCGTATTTGTTTGAAGTTCAATTTCTTTTGCTTGTTTTGCTATTCGCATATAATTCCTGTGTTCTTCGCGTAATCCTGGTGGAACATCCTGTAAATCAGTTAATTTTATCATAGGGTCTTACTCTCAAAATTTTTTTACAGAAATACGGTTAAAATATGTGTCTCGTTTATATTAATCAGATGACATTCTGCACTTAATTAATTACTCTTCAAACTTATTAATTTTTTGATTCTGCTTTGTTTATGATTTTTACACCCATATATTCTTCAGGATCAATATGTATAC